GGGAGCCGAGGCGCCGGAGCAAGATGGCGGCGCGAGTGCTGTGCGCCCATGGAGCGGCCTCGGCCGGAGGCTTCCTGCGGCAGGCCGCCCCCTGCAGCCTCGTGCCCGGGCTCCGGTGAGCAGCGCCACCCTTTCCGGGAGCGGCCGGGGAGGAGCTGCCGTGGGGCGGAGGGCGCGGGGTACCCGGCGCGGCTCTCCGCCCCGGCTCGGCCGCGCTCCCTCGGGGCAGGGCTGCGGGGCGGCGGGGCCAAGGTCGCGGTCCACGGGCCCGGGGAGCCTCGACAGGGTCGGAGCGGCTTCCTGGCCGGCCGGACTCAAGGTCACGGCGGGGACGGCGCTCGGCGCCGAGGCCACGTCCGCCCGCCATACGGGCCCGGCCCTCGGGACCTTGACCTGGCGCCGCTCGGAGCAGAGGCGGAGCGGCGGGCGCGCGGTGGAGGCCGCAGCCCCTGACTCGGCCTGCCGGCTGCCCGCGGGCACCTCAGCAAGTTGCTCGCCCTCGCGAGCCTCGGCGTCTGCATCTGTAAATGGCGGTAGTGACGCTACTTACCTCTTAGGTTGTTGTGAGGCAGAAATAAAATAACGCGTCGTCCCCGGTGGGCCCGCATTGAGGGGAGGGCGGGAGTAGTGAGGAGGGCTCAGCACTACGAACAGTCTTTGACTTGCATTTTAAAATAGGTAGCGGATCAAAAGTATTTACAGTTATCAGCGCTCAGTAGGCGTTGGGTTCATGCTTAAACTTTTTTCCTAGCCTCTTTGGGTGAAATGTTTGGTTTTCTGAATCCACCACTTTGACATATCCATGTCCCCTTTTCCACATTCAAAAGCCAAAGCCCATGCTAACTTACCCATAGGTGTGCTTGATCGCTTTCTTTACAACGCGTAATTTAAATGTTAACCTTTTTGTTGTTTTTAATTAAATAGTGAGCCTCTAGAAAATACAGTTGGCACTTAAAAATGAAAGAGCAAAGGAACTACCTGTTTGTTAAACTCTTACTGTGGTCCAGGAAGCTTTATATAATACGGCTTATTTAACTTAATCCTAGTAGCAATCTTAAGAAGGAAGAGGATCTGCATTTTAGAGATGAGATGGAACCTCACACATAGCTAGAAAAGGCATTTGAACCCAAGTTCGTCAGGCTTCAGGCCCAGCGCCCTTCCTCGGACTGATGCTCAACTTGTATTTCCAAATTTGATGTTTATGTTTTCAAGTTGATTAACACATCAGCCTCCTTTTATTTTTATCCTGTTATTGAGCAAATACTGAGTGTCTTATTTTTTCACACAAGCGATATGAGCCCATGAAATTCATTCTTTCCAAAAAAGACAGC